TCAGCAGGCTGATGAGTAAGATCTAAGAGGTAGGTTCTTATAGTGTATGTAAGTTTCATTACTGCTGTAGTTGGGATCTTTTGCTAAGGTACTTAAATTGGAGTTGTAATAATGGCAGAGGATGGAGAATTGGGTTCTGGACATGGTAATTAATAGTTTGTTTTGAATTATTAGACTACAGCTTTTCCCGGGAAGCGTGTTGATAGAGACTTAAAAGTATTTTCTCTCTTTTACAGTTTTCCAACTACAGTAACAAGCCGGATAATTTCTAAGGCCTTCATATGACATTTTAAAGATAATAAAAGACAACGATTGATTTGAAACTTTCTTAAACTGATTATCCTTTTCCAACTACTTGGCAAGTAAGAAACTAAGGAATAAAGAATTACTCCTAGTAATAGGAGTATGCTAAGAACAATACAGAATTCCTGATCAGGAATTTTTTTATCTAGTTTTTCTTCGCAGGAACAAATGGCTTAAATCTGGTTTTTGAAGGAATAGCAAGGATATTTCAGGCAAGAAAAATATGATATCAGGGAATGTGGCTATTCATAGATAAAGAGGTTGAGGAAGATCCTGAGGCTGATGTTACCATGCCGTCAATTTATATTTGGTAAAGACGCTTCCTAGTCACTTGTAAGAGATACCTAAGAAGTGGAACAAAGTGACAAAGCCTTATTACGAGCTACAAGATGTAGTTTGTGCCATGATAAAGAAGAATTTTGCCATCTGATGTCTCAGTAATTTATTCTGCTTCAGCCGTGCACCCTAGCCCTTGTTTAGTCTTGAAACATCTTCATTCTTCCATAATCTCTTCATTCCTTGTGTCCCACTGTAAGTGTGATGGGATTTTACCATGCTGGAACAACGGAACACGGTTCTCACCAAACCTTTATGCGGTCTTACTTTATTTCATAAGGATTGTTACCTTGGGGCCAGTAGGTGTGGAGGCAGCTGGACTCCCACCTTGCTGGCTGCAGCTAGAGTTCTGGGCATGGGTGGCTTGGAAACCATGTCAGGCACGTCGCATGGGTGCCTAAGATCCCAGGAGGAGAAAGGACTGTCATGGCCCCCACCCCATCCTCCGAGTGAATTCTCACTTTCCATCTCTGGTGAGTGTACATGCAGTATGGCAAAAAATTAACTTAGGAAAAAAAAATCTAATCCTTAGAACTGTCCATCGTGGTTCTAGATCTGATGAGGCCAACCTACTGCATGTCTGTGTATTGGGCCTGTTGGTGTCATATCAGGAGCCTACGTGCATCCAAAATTCTGAAGAGGGACAGGAATGAAGATTGTAGTATGACCATACCTCATGGGAGCACTGCTTCACTTTCTGTCTCTGACAAGTGCACGGACCCTGTGACAGAAGTCTCTCAAAAGAGTTTTAAAAATGAAAAAACTGATTTCTCAGGCAAACTGACAAATTCCTACACACTGCGGTGCTTCCCCTCTGTAAAACCCCTCTTGGACCTGCAAGTGGTATGGTTAAGGCTGCTGGGTCCCAGCGGCTGTGGGTTAGAGTCTAGGACATAGCAAGTTGAAAAGCATTCTGGGCACGTGTGTGCAAGTCCAGAATCCCAAAGGGTGGGAGAAATGAAGACCTTGGGTTGTAGACATACCCTGCTGGGTGCTTTCTCACTTTGTCTCCAGTAAGCACATGCACCCTCTGACTTGTTAGCGGGCAGGTGTGGTAGCCAGAGTGAGGTGTTATCTCCTGGAGGAGGTGGCCATGCTGCGGTCCCTTCGCAGGCTCAGAATTTCTAGGCACGTGGATACATGCCCAGATTGTTTTTCTAGGATGGGATCCAGTCACCTTAACCTGTGATGATATTTTAATGAACAAATCTCTGATGGCCGCTCTTTGGCAGAATGCTGGCCTTCCTGTTCAGAACACAGAGCACTGAAATGTTCTGAGATGGCTCTTCCCTTTTGAAGGCTTATTGCACTGAGCTGTGTGGCTAACTTCTTCACCTTCATAGTGTTTATCTAATACAGTAGACTGTTGTATGTTGATTGTATGCTTGCTTTTGCTGCAGCATAGCCTTAGGTAGGTGAGATTTGCTGCAGGGTGTATGAGCTCCTCAGAGACAGAGAAAATGAGAAATAGCCCTTGGTGGGAAGCACGACCACCTTGCAACCCCTTTTCCATTCTCTCAGGATTTGGGGCACATTCGCACAAGTGCTGGGCATGCCCAGGCCCTCAAGCCTCATAGCCAACCATGTGGGGTTCAGCTTTAATCCCTACACCACCTACTGGCCCTGGAAAGTTATGAGGTATTAATGGGATTTCAAAACTATTTGAGGGTTGGGACCAGCAGTTAGTGTAATGGCTACGTTGCTGGACTCCCATGTAGTCGACCACGGTTCATGTCCCGGACCTGGTGGCTTAAAACTCATGCAAGGTGCGTGTGCATGCGTGCCCAAGACCCCGAGAGGAGAATGGAGAAGAGGGCATTGCGGCGTAGCCATCCCCCCCCAGGGGGGGTGATTTCTCGTTTTCTGTCTGTCTCTGGAGAGCGTGTGTGCCCTATAGCAAAAACCTCTCAAAAAAAGAAAGGCAGGCAGGATACATAATAAATTACTTGCAAAATATCTAAACACTCATGGGGGTGAGTGCAGTAGGACAAGAAAAGAAAAAATTTTACTCTGAATTGACAGTTTTTCCATTAGGCATTTACTTGAAACTTCAGTTATGCCCTAGATTTGTTTTCTGATACAGGTGGGTCCCAAAATATAATCACAACTGCCTTGATCTAGGGTATTCTCCTACCAGAGCTTTTTGGACAGATGGGTTTTCCTTTTTTTAAAGATTTTGCAGGACCAGCAGATGACATAACATCACTGGATTCCCACATAGCCAACGGCAGTTCTAGGTCTGTACCTGGTGGCTTAAATCTCCTGCCAGGTGTTTGTGTGTGTGTACCCAAAATCCCTAGAAGAATGGAGAAGAGATTGCAGCATGGCCATTCCCCTGGAGGGTGATTTCTCGTTTTCTGTCTCCATGAGTGCATGTGCCCTAAGATTTTTGCTATAGGGTGGGTGTGTTCTCCAGAGACAGAAAGTGGAACCCTACCCCCCCAGCGGGGACAGCTACACCACAATCCCTTATCCATTCTCTTGGGATTTGGGGCATGCATTAACTCATGCCTGGCATGAGTTTCAAGCTGCTGGGTCTGGGACTCAAACCTCAGTTTACCATGTGGAAGTCTAGTGCCTTAACTGCTAGGCCATCTGCTGGCCCAACATCCTTTTTTTTTTTTAAATTATAAGAGTGTACATGCACTTATCTGGGGTGGGAGAAGGCTCTCTGAGTGAGGCGTGGTCACACAGCAGTATCTTCTCCAATTTTCCATCCAGTTCGGATTTGGGGCATGCAGCATGTTTTTCAGGCTGCCAGGCGAGGAGTCGTCCATGTGGGATCTGGCTTCCCTTAACCACTGGGTATGGGACTGGCCTTTCAAAGTCAGGATTTCTGACAGACTAGCCTACTATGCACAATGGATGATTAAAGAATAGCTATAAATGGGTATACATTCATTCTTGCCTTCCACTATTTAGAATGCATGGAGCAATTCTTATCCTTGGTTTTTTCTTTTTTAAGGTTTTTGCCATATGGTGCATGCACTCACCAGAGACGGAGAGGCACAGAAGACGACACCACTCCCCAAGGGGGGTGGCCATGCTGCAATCTCTTGTCTTTAATTCTCTCAAGATTTGGGGCACACATGCACACAAACCCCATGTGATTTTCAAACCACCAGGTCCAGGACTTAATTGTGGTCAGCCATGTGGAAGTCCAACGCCTTAACTACTGTGCCACCTGCTGGCCCCCATTGAACAGTTCTTAACACAGTGGATTTCAAAAAATCAAAGTTCCCAAATTCAGATTTAAGAATTTGTCTTGGGACCAGCAGTTGGCATAATGGCCATGTTGCTGGACTCCTATGTAGTCAACCGCAGTTCGAGTCCTGGACCTGGTGGCTTAAACTCCGGCCAGGCACGTGCGTGCCCAAGATCCCAGGAGGAGAAGGGATTGCAGTGTGGCCATCCCCCCTGGGGGGTGATTTCTTGCTTGTTGTCTCCCTCTCTGTCTTTCTGGCAAGTACATGTGCCCTATAGCAAAAACCTCTCCTTTAAAATTAAAAAAAATTAAGAAAAAAATTAATCTCTTAAAATAGGCTGTATAAAATAAAATAATCTTATCATTCAGACCAGCCTTCAGAATTGCATCCAGAGTCATGGGTGCTAGGTCCACATATGGCTATCTACCTCCAGGATGCTGTAAGTATGTGCAGTATCAACAGCTTGGAAGAGAACAAGCCAATGACATCTTTTTGCAGTGTTTGCCTTCCCCTAAGGATATCATATCTCTTGTTATCAGCACAAAAATCGGGAGGAGGAGTGATGTCTATTTAAAGAAAATTTGCTAAACATTGAGGTTTAGTGACCCCTGTCTATACCTAACTGGAAGCCCCATCTTGGACTTTTCCATGAGATGTGGAGGTCAGATTTTTTTCTTTTAATTGGATGTAATAAAAAGAGGGACTCACAAAGTTAGAAATTTATCAATGCTTGATCATTTTTATTTACTTTAGGTTTTTGCCATAGGGTACTTGGACTCGCCAGAGCAACAGGGAAAGTGAGACACACACCCCCCACCCACGCCCCTGGGGATGACCACACTGTAGTCCCTTCCCTTCTCTTGGAATTTTGAGCATGCATGCACACATACCTGGTATGATTGTTTTCAAGCAGCAAGTTCCAGGACTCAAGACCATGTTCATCCATATGGGAATCCAGTGCCTTAACCACCGTGCCACCTGCTAGTCCTGGTCATTTATTTTTGTTGAGGAAAACTAAAACTGATATGCTTAAAGAGTCTGCTGTAGCTGGCTAGACAAGTACTACTAATTTTACTGTATGTCCATCTGAGAACCACCTTGACCTAAAAGAAAGCACCTTGTTAGAAGTGTGAGAATATATATCACTGTCTATCCAGTTTAAAGAATTTTAAATCTGTTATGGAGTCTAATGAAACAAAATTTCACTTTTAGAAATTTTCTTTTACCATAGAATGAGCTGTTGGCACTTAGAGAAGAAAGCTATAGACGGATGGAAAACAACTCAGCAAACAACGTAGCAATGTATCAGGTAGTCCTCATAACTGGCTAGGTGAAGCCTTTATCTTCAGATCCAAGAACTGAATTCTCTGATTGTCAACACTTCAGGGAAAATTCATTTGAACCACACAGCAGAGACATCATAGGTCATCACTTTGGGTACTACTGTATCTCAAATTCTCTTCTCTAATGTCTTTGAAGTTACCAGTTTATAGAACTGGAGTGAATTTTTAAACTTCCCATCATGCAGACAGAAATAAGATGAGTTTAATTTAGAACCCTCTTGTTGCCTTTCTTTAATGGTATGTGTTGTAAGTTCTTCACTTTCCAAAATTTTCTTCTTTTTCGTCTGTGGAAAATGATCATTGATAAAAGTAGAGCCAGGGTGGAGAAGCAGCAGCAACCGAAGAAGATCAGGGGCTTCTGCGTGAGTAATGTGCAGAGGGGGCACTCCGAGTCTGTCTGGGTCTCATCGCAAGGTGGGCTGCTGCTCTCAGGAAAGCCGCGGCTGCTGATCACTTGGTTGTAAAACTGTATTGAGGACTTAGCTTTGAAGTCGGCTGTGAAGAAGCCAAATCTGGGTTTCGATTTTTCTTCAGTCAGCTTGAATGCGTAATAGCCCTTGATTTTGACTTTATCAATCAGGTATGCTGAAAAACATTGTAGGTGAGTGTTATGAGTCACAGACATCCAAGAATAAAGATGGAGTTCTTACTGAAACTGGCTAAAGGAATGCCCGTTAAAAAAAAAAAAAAAAAAAGATAGTTCTCATTAAAGGGTTTTTTGGTTTGGTTTGGTTTTCTTAGATTTTTGCCATAGGGTGCTTACACTTGCTGGAGAGAGAGAAATCAACCCCCCGGGAATCATGACTATGCCGCAGTCCCTTTTCCACCTCTTGGGATTTGGGGCAAATCCCGTGCACACAAGTTTGGCATGTTTTTCAAGCTGCCAGGGCCAGGATTCCACTGTACAGTCAGCAGTGTGGGGTCCAGTGCCTTTGCCACTGTGCCACCAGCTGTCCCAAAAGGGATTTTTATTTTTGGACATCTATGAGTTTGAAAATATGCCTAATAATTTTCAAAATAAATCTGAGGCCCAGAACAGTGTGTTAAGGGAGCCAGACCTCAGTGAGTGTGGTTTGAGTCCCGCCTCACTGGCCTGAACAATGTGCTGGGCGTGTGCCCTAAATACTGAGCAGATAAGTGGGGGAAGGGTCGTGGCATGCCATGCCATAGTGGAGGTGCTTCCTCCTGGGCAAGCTGGCACGCTCCAGCAATTTAAAGGAGAGAATGAGGGGAAGAAGTGGGATGGGGTGGAGGATGTGGGAGGAGGGAGAAGGGAAGGGAAGGAAAGGAAGAAATTTCTTCTGTGCAGACCATGAGGGAAAGGCTTGGTTTGCATCCTGGGTCTACCTCAGCGTCTGTGTGGGTGCGCTGGTGGTCCTGGCTGACTGCTCACTGGGAATGAACCTGTCAAGGGTGCGTGCCTCTGCTCCTCTCTTAATAAAAATTTAACATTTTTTAAAGTAAAGTTTTTTTTAAGTTTGTTTCTTCAGGGTCAGTGGGTGGCATGGTGTTTGGGGTGCTGGATTCCCACATGGCTGGGTGCAGTTTGAATCCCAGTCTTTATATCTGTCTCTTGAAGAAAAAAAAAAACGATAAAAAAAGTTCATCTTTTTTAAGTTTCTCTCTTCCATAAACAAGAGAGACAGAAACAGTACCCTCAAAGGGGTCTTGACACCATGGTCCACCCTTAGCTTCAGCCAGGTCTGGATTGTGGGCACACAGATGCCTACTGTACTTCAGGAGATTCCTGGACATGAACTTGAACCTTCCCATTAAGTACTGTCTTGCAGAGCATGACATTGGGGCGTGTACTGGCCATATAGACACAGTGAGAGGGAGGGTGAGAAGTCACCCCCCAGGGGCAATGGCCACACTGCAATCCCTTCTCTATTCTCTTGGAGTTTTGGGCATGCATCCATGTACCTGGAGTGATTCTCAAGCTTCCAGGTACAGGACTTGAACCACAGTTGGCCACAGAGTCTAGTGCCTTCACTGTGGCACCTGCTGGGCCCACAGAGCATTATGTTTTACTGCTGCTTCACGGGCCCCTGAAGTGAAATTTTGATTCATAAGGAATCCTAGAACACTGGGGGTGGGGTGTGTGTGTGTGTGTGGCGCAGTACATTTAAGCTAGAGAGCCATGGACTGCCTGGTAGCTTAGTTAAGGAAACTGGATCCTCCATTGTTTGATGGGAAGAAAATGGAGGAAAAGGGGTTAGACATGACCATACCCCATAGGATTTTCTCTGACAAGGACATGGACTCCCTGACAATTAGGAGGGAGGGGAGGAGACAGAGGCATGGGAAGTGTCACTCTGTTCAGATGGTCAGTCATGAGCAGAAAGACCTGTTAGGCCTGACTGCAGACTTCTGTTGCGCTCTTGGGACTGCCGCTAACCACACTTGGTTCCTCTTAGTCTCTCACCCTCCTTGCCTTTTGGACCCCGTGATTTTTTTAAATTTTTTTAAATTTTTTTTTTTTTTTGTTAAGAGTCTCACTGGCTCTCCTGCGTCAGTCTGCTGAATAGCTGGGACTGCAAACACACACCTTCGGCTGGGCATTTCTGGGGTCTTGCTGCTTTGACAAATCTGTTATGAACATTTAAAAATAAGATGAACAGGGCCAGTAGGTGGCATGGTGTTAAGCTGCTGGATCTCACATGGCTGGCTGTTTGGGTCCCAGACTCTTGAAAATCACGCTGGGCCCGTGAATGTGCATGCCCAAAATCTCAGGAGAATCGATGATAAGACATTACAGTGTGGCCATCCCCCGTGGAGGGCGATTTCTCACTTTCCCTCCCTCTCCTCTTTCTGGTGAGCACATGTGCCCTATGGCATAAACAAAACAAAACAGTTTCTCACATGGCTGACCAAGCAATTCGAGTCTAAACCCAGTGGTTTGAGAAACACACCAGAGAAACACTCCAGATGCACTAGGAAAACTTCAGGAGGAGGGAGAAGTGGAGGAGGTGATTGCAGCGTGACCATGCCCCGTGGAAGATGCTGGCTCACTTTCTACCCCATCCTCTCCGGTGCGTGTGTCCTCTAGCCCGAGAAGAAGAAAAAAGCCTAGCAAGCATGTTGGAATAAGCCAAAATAGTGATGACGCTTGCCTTGGGGCGTGAAGTTTCAGGTGACTGCAGGAAAAGTTGAAGTGTCTGTGGAGAGCAGCCAATGTGAAAACGTGACTAAAACATGTGGCCTGAAAACACATGCAGATATGCGCTTCCTAAGCTACTCTAGCAGGGCAATGAGAAGCATCTTCATATGAAAGCAGTCCCTGCCTGTTGTCAATGGCTGTCTTCCTGCTCTTCTTGAAACTCAATACCTCCATACTGCCCAGTATCAGGCTAAAGGAAGTGACAAGCCTTTTTCAGATTATTCCCCCAAAAGGATCTGAGAAATTATATGGCGCCAGTCATCTTCACATCTTCAGTCGATTGACATCCCAAAACAACTGGCTTTGCATCCCAGTTTCACCTCCCTTATTCTCTCTGCATTCCACTTCCTTCTTCCCCATTCCTTTTACATCCCATTTTCCCCTCCCCCCATTTTCTGCCCTTTAAAAGAATAAACCTGAGGCTGGTTCTGGTCCCAGTTTCTTCATCACAGAAGTTGTGCCCACCTCATCCTCACTTTTCTACACTTGTGTGTCTTTGTCTTGTTATTGTGTCCATTTCTTTTCTTTTCTTTTCTTTCTTTTTTTTGGGAGAGGTTTTTGCTATAGGGTGTGTGCGTGCGCCAGATAGACAGAGAGAGAGACATAGAGACAGAAAGCGAGAAATCACCCCCCAGAGGGGATGGTCACGCCGCAATCCCTTCTCCTCCATTCTCCTCTCGGGATCTTGGGCACGCTCGCACACGCACCCAGTGTGAGTTTTAAGCCACCGGGGCCGGGACACGAACCACGGTGGACTACGTGGGAGTCCAGCGACATAGCCGTTACGCTAACTGCTGGTCCCTATTGCGTCTATTTCTAATCCGCAGCTTTCCCCACTCAGAAACATGTTCATGCTGAGCTGGCCTCGGCAAGTGTCTATTGCCAATTTTTCCACAATGAGCTTGTGTTTCTTTTATGATGAAAAATACTTAAAAACCCAATAAAACTCCAGTGTTTGGGAGGAAACCTAGTTGACAGGTCCTTTCCCCGCACGAGAAGCGGGCCCGGGGCCTCACCTTTCAGAGCCTCCTGCAGGTACTTCTCCAGGTAGTACTTCCGGAGCTGGTCGTCGTGCAGAGCCTGGTCGTCGACGCCGTTGGCGGTGATGTAGACGTCCACGTCCCCGTAGTTGTCGCGGACCCACCGGAGCAGGCTGCGCTGGCCCGCGGGCACCACGGCCAGGCGGCTGGGGGAGCTCAGGCGGGTGATGTCCTGCAGGAAGCGCACGTCCCTGTCGGCGTGGTGGCGGCCGCCCTGCGGCACGTGCATCACCAGCCTGGTGGTGAAGTGGTTCAGGGCGCAGAAGTCGGCGGCGCCCTTGACCAGCCTGCTATCGGCCTCGGAGAAGCGGGGCTGCACGGAGC